TCGCGGAAATTGTGGATGTTATCATGTTGGTATGGGCGGTTACAAGCGAGGCCACGTCGAGGAAATTTCCTCCAGCGCCCTCGACAATTTCCGAATAAATGCAGTCCTCGAAGAAGATAGGCAAGATGCGGCTGATATCCGCACCGGCACTCGAACTCGTCGACCACATGTCTTCGTGATGCAGGAAATATGCCCAAAGTCGGGTTAGATGAGCCCGGATTCCTGGTGTGGAACTAATAATGTGCCTTGGATTTTTCGGGTGGCGATTGGGGCCAAGCTGACGGATGATAGACAAGTGGATGGTGCAGATGTCGAGACCCTCGGCGTCGAGTTCGGCGATGTAGTGGATCTGTTGGGACATGCATTTCCAGATTCGAGGCCGGAGGTCTTGGAGGACCCCATTGGGAGTCAAAGAGGCCCCAATCATCACTTCCAAGGCATGAAAAACCGTCAAGGGCGAAGCGACGAATGCGATGTGCTGGTCAATGGTTGTCACTGAGGGCGGTGGATGTTGATATCGTTCCAGAATGTGGAAGTAAACAGGGAGAAATGAAGCGGGCGGAACGGGGACTTCCCCCGAGGTCGGGGGCTCAGGGTGCGTTATACCGAGCAAGTCCTCGAGAGTCGAAAGTGCCATCAGGGCCCTCCGCACAGGCGCGTAAGGCAACCTTCTGTGGGCTTGTCAGAAGACCTGGGGTTTGCATTGATACGGGAATGACCTTCAAGCGCTTCGGCAACTTGTTTATATTACTGAAATCCAAGGATGGATGTGGCATGGAATCACGAAGTGGCAAGAGGCGAGCGATCTCTAGTCTGTCCACGTGAGTGCCACTGATGGACAGCGGCACACGCCTCGGCCATGATCAGATCAATATGGCAATGCTGCCGGCCAACTCCAAGCCGACTCTACAACTTCTCGATAATTCTTAGAGCTCGCTTTCAAACGCGCTGGACGAGTGTTTTAGGTGAGACGCGCGACGCGCGCGCGTCGGTGGTGGTGAGTGACAGCCGTGTGGCAAGCTGATGGCCGGGCTGACGCCGCTGAGTCAGAATTGCCTTATTTGGGGGGGTAGGTCCCCCGTGGGAATTTATCCACGATCCAGGGATCGCACGCCTCTTGCGAAGTGGCGCTTTCAAGAGGACATCATTGATGGGATCCGGAACATTGATCACGACATCCCGCTTTTGATGCGTTGCCACGGAACGCCAGTTATCCTCAGCTCACCTCATTTATAGGTGGATTTACGACTGCGAGCTTATAAGATGAACGAAAGGCCCTGCAAACCGAGGGCCAAGATGTGTGGCAGCTATGAAGTCCCGCCAAAGTCCCGTGCCAAATTTACCAGCGCGCTACGCCGCTGGACAGCAGAGTACCCACTCGGGACCTGCGAGCCTGTCAACGAGGCTGCGCTATGCCTCGGGGCGTCCAATCTCAAGTACCGCGCGTATTTGACAGCGCCTATCGTAACTCATGGAGAACTAAACCCGACAGGCGAGCCGCAATGGCCATCGGCATCTCCTCTCGCATTTCTTCTAAAATCCGGGAAGTTCAGCTCTTCTGTAGCGAAGCGTGATCCCCCCCCAGCATTTGTGGGCTCGAGGCAGTGGTCGTGGGCTCGAGATCATGGGGTACCTCGAGGAGGTGTGTCACTATTCAACACATACATAACCGATGATACGACACTATTCTGACTTTCAGATCGGATTACACAGACCCAGGGAAGGCACCAAAGGGGGTGTAGAATAAAGGAGAGATAGGCTGTCAACGACCCATCAGTAAGTTTCTTCATGAGTGAAGTTCTCATTACCTCTGCAAGAAGCTCCGCCTTGACAAATTCTTGCAGTAGGCTGTTCTTCACATGTCTGGAAGGCGGGCAATTAGTTGCATTCACGATTGAAACTGTCCTTGCCATACGCTTGCAATGCCGCCTCGTTGGCGAATCTGGGACGATTTAGCTCTGGGGAAATTCTCTGACAAAGGGAAGGTATGTCCGTACCGTTCCCAGGTGGTGAAAGTGTCACCGTGTCGTCCAAACTCATAGGCAAGTGTGCCCGGTTCGTTCGCCTTCACGTCAGCCTGCAGTTTCAAGATCCAGGTCCCAATATCATCCCCGGCGCCTTCCTTACCAACAAGCTGTGTTCGCGATAAGCCTGCGAGCGTTCGCGGTGGAGAGGAGGATCCGCATACCTTGACGATAGCCAAAATCTCGCCTTCAATGTTCTCCCAGGTGGTGCTCATAATGCAGGCATTTCGGGTGTTCCGGAATGCCTCTCTTATAACTCCGCCGGTTGGAGCACATGCTGATATACCCTGGGACCTTCACCTTCATATTTTCGAACACGCTGTCAGTTTTTTTCTTCCCTGGTGGTCACTGGGCGTTGTGCAACAGTTGTTTCATCTTGGTTCAACCCGATTTGGTGTTTTATCACCACGGAGTCGCCTTGTGATCATGCCGGCGTGGAATCGAAGAAGATCCTCGGCCCATTTCTGTCTCTGGTATCGACCAGTAAGCTGCCGCCGGGTCCCGATGACTCCTGATGCCTGACGGAACAGTAGCAGTGTCGACGGTGGGTGAGTTGATTGCTGGGAACTCGGGCTTGATTCGAACAACAACATCGCCGCTCGGTCAATTTATGCCGGAAATAATTGGACATCCTATGCACAATGAATTTACTTACCTTGTTCAGCACCCGGGTGGGTGCTAGATAACTCCTGAGTCAAGTGATAGAATAAATGGTTCAGAGGAAGAGCAGGTCGGAATTCAGTGCTCAGATTTGGTGAGCCACGGAATAAAAATCATCGACACTTCACTAGAGCAGCACCTCGGATCGAACGAGGACTTCGGGACCAAGGATTTCACTCCCCAAAAGTAAATCCCGTGTGCACGTGTTACAGCTGCTTGCGGAACTTAGGGCGCGGCCGATTTTTTATCAAATTTTGATGTTTTCACGAGAACCGCTGTTACGGGCTCAATTCCCTTCCGATTCACTTGAAAATAGGATCATTCGATTCGTATTTTCATTCCGGAGGGCTTAGCCCCCCGGAATCAAGTGGGAGCGTGAGAATTGCCTTTTTCGGTAAAATTCGAGGCTTCTACGCAGAACTGCTCTAGTGATAGATGTACTTGTTCAATTGACCTACTTTTTGGATATGATATGTATATATGTCTCCCTGAGGGCTCCACATGCTCTGACTGCGAGTATATCCCAGGGTTCAAGTGTAATTCAGGTTTCAATTATAACCGCTTTCTCAATACATGCTAAATGCGAGGTGTGACATGAAATCACTGTCCGAGACTTTCATGCACTCCGTGTTATGTGGGAGCATAGCATGTCCAAAAATTAGGTCAATCGAACAACTACATCTATTACTAGAGCGGTTCTGCGTAGAGGCCTCAAATTTTGCCGAAAAAGGCAATTCTCATGCTCCCACTTGATTCCGGGGTGCAAAGCCCTCCGGAATGACAATACGAATCAAATGATCATACTTTCAAGTGAATCGGAACAGAATTGAGCCCGCAACAGTGGTTCTCGTGAAAACATCAAAATTTGATGAAAAATCACCCGCGCCCTAAGTTCCGCAAGCAGCTGTAAGCTTAGATCCTGGCGACTGATTTCACACCACGTTAACCAGCACGTTCCCTAAGGATTGTATTGGACAGTAGTGTAAAGTACAGTTAAGGAAAAAGCTCCTGTTTACTAGTGTATCAAAGTCTTATATAGGGGCCAGCCAACGGCCACTCCTGAGTTTCCGCCTCAAACCTTAATCCCAATTTGGGAATTTGATCGCGGCACTTTTCGGCACCCTCATACCACAGTAGTTCTGGCGGAGATGTACCCACCACAAAGTCATAGCCATAGGATATTTGATGAAGTGGTTATTGCTGTGCTGAGTAGGTTTGGCTGATGTAATTATTTTGCATGGTCCGAGGTTCAATCCGGGCGCTCCTGGCTATTTTCACTCGCCCGAGCATTCGAGTCTAAGGAGTACTACCACTGTCATGCTGTTCGGCCAGTATGAATGAAGTTAACTTGTGGAGCTACCTACTTACTGCACCACTGAGGCCTCAGAGGGCTTCAGTGTGCCCTGAGCCGGCTCGAAGGAATGGTGGGAGGCATCAAATTCAAAATTGTTGATCCCCTTCGCGCACATGAAGAAAGCTAGTGGTGCATAACTCCGGCATGACTTTTTATCCTCCCTCTTCGACAATGGCTGAGTGGGAAACAGTCAAAAATGCACTCGCGAAATCTTGTGCACCCAAGCTGTGCCGACATGCCGAACCCTAACCTTTTGAGATTATGCCGGTGTGCCGCGATCAAATTACCCAATTCGGGTTTAAGGTTTGAGGCGGAAACTAAACGAGTGCCAACGGCTGGACCTAATAATAAGATACACTGGTTGAACATTTTGAATTTTTCAGTGAAAATATTGGTGAAAAACTTCCTTTATTTTGCACCCTTTTTTCACTGTAAAAGTAGATGAAAAATTTAACAGTTTTTCAGTGCTTTATGATTCTATTCCGAAATTTTCACCTTGCAATCAAAAAGTCCTGAACATGTTTTAAATTTCTCACTTCCTTTTTCAGCAAAAAAAGTGTGAAAAATTTTGGAAAAATTAAGGAAGTTTTTCACCCAATATTCTCACTGAAGAACTTAAAATGTTCAACCAGTGATACATAGATAAATACAATGATAAATCAATAATTATATTCGCTTAGGGGCTAACATCCCTAACAGCACGATACACCATACTGCTTTCTAAACACTGTTTCAAGGTTGGTGGGGTGTTATAAAATCAGTGAACTGGGAAGTAAAACAAGAGGATTGGTTAGAGCAGTACCTCGAATCGAACGAGGACCTCGGAGTGCACTCTTCACTGACCTAGTATGGAGCCTCCGTGTGCTTGATACACCATACTGCTTTCCTTACCCTGTTTTTTGGTTGGTCGGGTACTAGAGAATTGGTGAGCCAAGGAATGAAAACACGCGACAAACATCGAGAAGCAGGACCTCGATTCGAACGAGGACCTCGGGGTGAATTCATTCTCCAATCCAACATGAGAACTCCGCGGGCACAATACACCATACTGCTTTCGTTTCTCTAATTCTGATTTGGTGGGGTGCTTGGAAATTGCTGAGTTGGGAATAGACGGATACAGCTTTTCTCCCGCTCCTTCTAAGTGACTGGGTGCTAGCAAAATTACTGAGGTGAGCAAAGAAATAAACCTAACATAGATCCAGAGCAACACCTCGAATCGAACGAGGCCCTCAGATATAATCATTTTGTACCAGTTGAAGACAACCTCGCGTGCAAAATGCACAATACTGCTTTCATTACTCTGTTTCGTGGATGGTGGGCTGCTAGCGAGATTGTTGGGTCCCGGTCAAAATGATATCAGCCAACCAGCTCGCGGGTGACGGTCAGTATGGCTCCTCCTCGCTGACAGTCAGAAGGAGTGCGTCCTCGCTATCCACACGCCCGTCGTGGTCGTACACCGCATTATCCGCGGAAGATTCGCCATGTACTTCCGAAGGATCCGCATCTGCAGGCCCAGCGTCTCCTCGTCGGGCGATGGAGAAGCGCAGAGAAGCGCTCGAGGCTATCCCGTCCACAGCCACGTACACCGCCTCGTCCACAACCGGGGTACTCCGCCCCACAGATTCCTCCTTCCTGCGCCCGTGCACGCCCACAGCATCACCATGCTCGAGCACCTCCACATCTGTACCTGCACCGACAGAAAATCGTCCCCAGCTCTTCCCCTCGCTTCACCTATTGCCCTTCCTTCACCGTCGGCTCTGCTGGAGAAATCTCCTGCATCCCGATGACGATGAAGCAGTAGAGGCCGATGCGCGGGTCCTCTGCCTCGATGAACATGAGGAGATGTGCGCTCACCATGGCAAGAAGGACAGGGAATTGGAGATCAGGAGGATATCAAATGGCGCATCCAGCGAGATGGGCGACTGAAGCATCATAGGTGATTGGCAAAAATACGCCCCGGGAACTGCAACAATTTTCTTGACGACCCCGGCGGCAGGTGTGTGCCAGCGGTGGTAGTAGGTGACCCGCAGGTATCCCTAATATACCATCCCGATGAAATACGACAAGGTGATCTTAAGTTCCAGCCGGTTGAAACCGTCAGCCGGACTTGAGTTCCCCGAACTTGAGTTCTCCGTGTACGGGTGCCGCGTACGCATGGCACCCGTATGGCGCTCCCCAACGGCGCCCGAATCCACGCCCCAGGCTTACTTGAAGAACACCATCAAGACTTTGCACACATATGTTCGAGGGAGACATAAGTGTTGAAATGCATAGAATGTACAGTATGCACGACGTACCGTTGTATATTGAATCGCGCGCCGCTCCCGCAATGTGAAGCTGGATTAACAGGATGACAAAAAGACCGTAATAAGTTCACGATTTGGGCGTGAGGGTGGTCGTGGTCGTAGCGTTACATGCAAGGATGGTACGCAGAGGGGAGGTAGACGTGAGGAGTGTGCAGAAATGGTGCTGAAGTATATACAGGGTGTAATTGCCGTGGAAGAACACATGCGTACATATTATTCTCGGGGGACCTTGTGGTCCTCGGGGCATCCATGCGCGTCTTCTCCAGGTCCAACCTCGCGTGCGGGGGTAGCAGCAGTAGGAGCAGTAGACGAAAGCAATGATCTCGACGCGCTGTTTCGGTGCTGAACATCAGCTCTGGAAAGGGCAGGGTGATGTGCAGCACACATGTGACACCATGCCAATGCGGGAGAATATTCACGCCAACTACGGGGAGTGAGCATGAGCACGCGGGTTTCAAAAGGACTGCAGAGCACGCACCTTGTACCAAATATGCAACACGTCCTTCTGCACGAGTGCCTTCGCCATCAAACACGATGGGAGACAAGGAGACTTAAACGGGGGATGATATAGTCAAGAAGAACAGGGGATAATATACAAGTCTAGCCAAGGGAGGCGGATGGTGGTGGTGAGTGAGGAAGGAATACGCTGTTCCAAAAAAGGAATGGTTAGGGTTAGGTTTACTCGTCATGACCCAATCACGACCTCACTCTCACTCCCACTCTCACCACCTCGCTCTTGAAGACCACCAACAAGACGAGTCCAAGGACGAACGTGACGGCGGCCAGCAACAGCAGACCAACCACGGACCCCGCCTGGAACCACAGACCAACTTCATGTCGGTCTGTGTACCTTCTGGGCTCGACTAGACAGTCGGGCCCGGCCGACTTCATGTCGGTCGTCCTGCCTCGGTTCTTTTGCTGGACTTGGTCGGTGCTCATCACGGTCTCTTTGCTACCAACACGGTCTCTTATTTGTAGTCATGAACGGTCTGTATTGAATACCATTTTAACATATGTACTATACTAAGATCTTGCGGCGATTATCTTGATATTTTCTGCGGCGATTCGGCGACAAACGCAAGCGAGAACTAAACTATGAGCAGGTATGCTGGATAAAATCAATGCTATTCTTCATTCCTGAATTTATCTTGTGCAGAGATACGGACGAGCTTTGGGCTAAAGTGAGCGCTGGGAAAAGGTATGTACATGAAGGCCTTTTTCTCCTTGAGTTACTTAGATCTGGGACAGGAAATGTGGAGAACGGCTGTGAGGGAGACAGCTGACGAGCAGAGAATATCAGTAATTATATTGTCTCATGTCTCATATTTCACAAAGGTGCTAATGTATGCAGTCGTAGTCAAATCGTCCAGTCAATATACCCCAAGAACCGCGACTTCTTGCGCGGGCGCATCGCGGCGTCGTCCTCATCGTAGTCAAATCGTCAAGTCAATATACCCCAAGAACCGCGCCTTCTTGCGTGGGGGCATCGCGTTGTCGTCCTCATCGTCAGAGACGTCGACTATGCCCAAGTCCACGAACTTCCTCTTCGGGGCAGGGCGCGCGGGCTCATCATCAATTCGGGAAAGATCCATGCGGACAGGAGAGCTGGGTGGAGATGTGGGACGTTGGGCACGGCGCCGCTGGATTGCGCGGGGCTCATCGTCGATTCGGGAGAGAGCCATGCGGACGGGAGAGCTGGGTGGAGGTGTGGGAAGTTGGGCATGACGCCGCTGGGTTGCGTGGGGTGCGGGTGCGGCTTCCTCGTCATCAGAGATGTCGATGACTCCCCAGAAACGTGGCGCGACAGCAGGCACGGATGCGGGACCAGGTGCGGGGCCAAGTGCAGGAGCAGGTGCAGGACCAGGACCAGGTGCGGGACCAGGTGCGGGACCAGGCACGTGAGCGGGGAGCTCAGGCGCGATGCGTACCCTGTCAAATCCACGCAATGGCTCCAAGGCCCAGGCGGGACGAGCAGGCATCCCGCGAGCTGCACGATATGGAACGATGAAATCGTGCCATCTCTGCTCTGCGGCCTGCAAGACGGACTTGGCGGCGGCGTTACAGACGGCGTAGTCTTTGCCGGTCGACATGAAATGGGAGTCGTACGCGGTGCGATACGCTCGTATTGCAGCTTGTACCTCGGGGTCGGGAGGTGCGGTCTCGTTGGACACAAGGCGACCATTGCGCACCTGGTGGGGATTGAGTGGGAGTAAGTGGCAAGATATGAATGAGGACCTACAAAGTTGGTCTTGATTTTTCCTAGCTGGGAAGACGTGAATGCTGATCCCATTGCGACGCGCAGTCTTATAGGTTGGTCGAACATCGCTTGAAGCTCTTCCGGCGTCCTCACTTCGAGGGCTTTGCGGAGAAGAGCGCGGTGGCGCACATTGGTGTTGTAGTCGGGGACGTTCGTTTCACCGAACAGGCGGCGAGTCTCTCGGAAAGGTATAGCGGGCATTGTGAGGAAAGGTAATTATCGTCTGTCTGAGTTGACTATTCACTCAATTTTAACATGGCTTAAGTAGTATCCCTGTGGCCACCGCTCTCTTTTCGGGTGTTTCCTTTTTCGAGATCCAAGCGTGACCTGCGCTTTGGATTTATTGATGTAGGTGGCATTCATTGCCTCTTGCTTTCTCCCCACTCTGATGCACCTACCAACTCTCAGTCTTCACTCACTGCGACTCCCAACGATGGCTCCAGCAGCAAAATCAAGCAAAGTGAAGGAAATGTTCAAACCGTACAACGAGGCTGATGTCCCTGACATCATGCCTTTCCCTGACCTTGCCACCTTCGCCGCCAGTAACGGCGAGCACATCGCAGTGCCGAAACTCAACCAACACCAGCGAAGCTACATCCTCGACGTCGCCCTTCGCAACGCCGACCTCGGTGACCTGGGGACCCAGAAGGAGGCTAACGAGTTCTACGACCAAGTCAAGACCCAGGCCTTGGATGCAAAGGCGTTCCAGCACAAGGTGCAGCCCGGGGATCGGGCGGAGGAGGCTTCTCTATCGGAGCGGATCAACACCTGGAAACTCGAAAACCCAGGCAAGCTCAAAAAGAAGGCTGGTAAGCCTCGGGCAAATGACGGTGACGCGAGCGACGACGAGGAGGACGAGGGCGGACGTAAAGCTCTCTTGCGTGGATACACGAAGGCGGGGTGGCGTAAGACGAGTACTTCTATCCACCTGTCTTGTGTCGAGAGCACTTCTGACCAATACTATAGGCGATCCAAAAAGTTATCAGTAATAAGCGGTCGGCCGACAACGTCAAAAACAAGGTCAAGAAGACCGACACTGCGCCATCCAAACCGGCACCTTCCACGGCAGTGACGAAGCTGTTGGGGCTCGCCGCCTTGACCGGTCACGACAAATTTCGTGAAGATTGCCACGACAAAATCCAGAGGTTTTCTCAGACTCTGCCCGGCGACATCAATGCTGGTGGCAAGTTTGCGAAAGCTGAGGCTATTTTGTGGGCGAAGGAGGACAAAGCGTCGTGGGATGCGATGGTGGAGGACGAGGAGGTTGACTGGGAGGAGTAAGTCGTACATACCATCATGCCGTTCCCCATTGACCATTTACTTAGACGTCAGAAGCAAGTGGCAAGCGGCTTCAAGCACATGTTCCAGAAGCTCCACACGTCGGGGAAGTTCCGCCCTTTCATGGCGACCATGTTGATGGGGTGGCTGGACACGAACGGAAACGTGCAGCTCGAGTGGTGCGTTCCCTTTCCCTTCTCTTCTCCTTGCAT